GAGAGAGAGAGAGAGAGAGAGAGAGAGAGAGAGAGAGAGAGAGAGAGAGAATAGGGAGAGAATAGCGAGAGAGCACCGCGAGCAGCCGGCGTATTCCGGTGAGTCGTCGGGGCTTCCATGGCTCCAGCGTCTAAGACTACACTGCACACACAACTATCGTCGAGAGTGCATCGCGCTTGTATTTCTCACGAAGGCTCCTCGCCCTTCGCTCCCTCAAAACGTATGTCCCTGGCTACTTGCTTTGACCCACTGCGATCGCACCCGCCTGATCCCCAACGGCTGTCAGCATCTGCGTGTCTTCGATACATAATAAGTCTGAGAAGGATAGACGAATCGGGAGCTTATTAACTTATTATTATCAATATGTTATATTGATTCTCAGGATATTTAACATAAAGGAGGGCCATTCCGTTAAATTCACTAGATTTCTCTCCGCGTGCGTCAAGTCCATTTTATTCGCAAACATTGAAGACAAACTAACGGTGGGTAATGAGAGCGAGGCGGTTGGCCGCCGCTCGCGTACGAAAGCCAGCAGACGGTCGTGCGGCGCGTTAGAGCGTGCACGTGGGAGTAGTGGATTTTTCGTGAGGGACGAGGAAAATCAATGTCCCGCAATGCATTGGGAGTCAGTGCGGTGGCATTGTTGGCGACTTAGTGGAAATAGAGCGCAGATAGCAGATAGCAGATACCACCAGATTGCTCGTAAGGGGAGTAAGGAGAAGGTGGGAAGGGGAGAAATGCCCACGTATGTATCCCGAGCACGTACGGCCCCGTGCCCATACTCAGCGGAGTCCCCAGCTACGCTATACGTTACATGCATGTATATAGTATATGCACACTTAGAGACACAGAGGTGGAAGTGCAAGTTGCTCTGGAAGTGGAAGTGGCGCTCGATCTGCTGCTGGATAGAGATGAGATTGGGGATGGAGATGGTATCGAGAGCTGGCCGTCTCGTGGCGAGGCCAGACACACGCGCGCCCATCGGTGGGTTATCGACGAGCAGCCAGGCAGGCAGACTGCTGGGCGACGTGCACTTGCTCCCTTACGCAGACGTCACAGAGAGGTCCTGCAGGAACGGAACGAAGGTCAAGTGGAGACCTTATCGACCTTATCGATCTGTTCCATCTCTTGAAATTTCAGTTTAGATCGGTTTCCCACGGTTCACGGATGGCAAATTACAGTTGATCATAACTCCGGGCGAACCGGCCAAAATAATTATTCCCCGTAGCGCCGCTAGCTTCCCCGTCGACGTCTCGTTAGGAACTTGGCAAAAAGTTTGACACTCGATTCGCTTCGAAGCAAAGCGACACGGCG